ATCTTATTTCAATAATTCGCTTGCGCGTAGGGGTCTTTAGCAGTGGGGGGAAACTGGATGACCCGGAGAAAACCCACTCCTTGTCACGTACAGCCTGGTAAACGAAACCACGCCAGTTGACTCAATGACAGACCTTATGATACAGCGCACACGTGATAACCATTCGGCCATTCAACGTTAATCGAGATCCAGCCTTGCTTCTCCATTTTTAAATTAAATCATCAAATGGCGATCATATTTGAATCTGTTTACATCTCTGCCATCTGATGTTCTAGAGAGTTGATTATAGGCTTGTCATGTGAATAAATGTAAAAATAATAATTTATATAACATTTGAAGCCAAAATAAAAACCTGTAATAGGCACATTTAGCTCTTACATAATGACCCGTCTTCATTAGCCCAGTTCGGAGCAAAACAGTAGGACGTTAAACCCCATTTCATTTCATTTCATTTCTTACATAATGCATCTTTAAGTCCTGTTCATATCTTTGCTGATATTGATATATTTTATTTTTCATTTTTTCAGGATTTGACCCTAAATCTGGTCGTCCTATAATCCGATTTAAATTGGTTGATTTAGACTTCAGCCTCCAACTAGGCGACATCCAAGACATCAAAACACGACCTCTGTTTTTCAGCATCATCAACGATTCTGGTGCTACGAGTCGTAGGAATGGTAGACAAATATGCGATTTCTTGTCAAAAGCTAATTATAAGACCACAGCTGAGATCGGTGATGGCGATAGCAAAATGATTCCCAGAGATCTAACGTCAAAGATGCTTGGTGGAAAACTTGCTGTTAGGTCGTCTGCAGCTGGAACTCGTCAGAGAAATTTGAATGTTGTACGACAGAAAGAACGTGAGGAAGTCAAATATGGTGATGGTGATAACAAAACTATTCCTCGAGATCTAGAGACAAGGCTACCACGTACCCTTAGATCGTCAGCAGTTAGAACCCTTTCTAGAAACTTGATTCCTGGAGTTATAACGACAAAGATGCCAGGTGGAACAGGTGCTGCATATTTCACTCCATGTACCCTTAGATCGTTTGCCGCAGAGACCCTTTACAGAAACTTCATTCCTGGAGATGTAACGACAAAGATGCAAAGGATGGAAGGTGGAACAGTTGCTACATATTTCACTCCATGTACCCTTAGATCGTCTGCAGCTGGGACCCTTTATAGAATTCTGAATGCTGTAAGACAGAAAGAAAATCAGGGAATCGTAGATGGAAAAATTTACGAAAGGGCAACTTATAGAAATGGAGCCATAAATATGGTTGACAAAATGAAAGCTGAAAATGTCATCTCTGCAACTCAAGTTAAACCGACTTCTAGTGGAACCATTCCTGAGATTGATATCTCAGACAGAATTATAAGTCATCGGTGCCAAGATAACAAAGATATTGTTGATATAAACACCTCCAATTCTACAGTTTCATCAGCCATGACAGAACATCGACGTTTATCAGATAAAACAGAAGAACAAGACACGCCTAAACCCAAGAAAAGGCAGAATTTTCTTAAAGTGAGTTTGTTTTTGTTTAAAATACATTGTCATGGTAACCATATAACAAAATATTGTTTCCGTGTTACACAATAATGTCAATGGACATTATCATTTTCATTCAGAAAGTAAATGCAATTCAATTCATTTTAAACTCACCAAGTTATGAAGATCCAAACACAGATTTCAATAAAGAAAATTATATTTGCTCGTTTTCAGAAATTCTGGAGAAGAATCACACGGAAATCAAAGAACAAGACAGAAAATAAAATAGGTCAGTTTATATTTTATACTAGTACATCATCAATCATCTCACAAAAAAAATGTGAGCCGCGGTGGTTCAGTGAGTAGGACGCTAGCTCACTAACCAGGAAGCCCGGGATTTCCCATCGTGGTTTCCCCTTGTCAGTGCTGCAGGACTGATGACTTGGCTACCGAGAGACGGGATTTTCCATCGTGGTTTTCCCTTGACTTGGCTAGCGAGAGATAGAGAGCGGGTTTAGCGTCAACTCGTCACAAACTAGGTCATTTCGGAACCAACACGTGGTTCAATTTTATTTCAATAATTCTCTTCCACGTAGGGGTCTTTAGCAGCGGAAGGAAACTGGAGAACCCGAAGAAAACCCACTAGGTTGGACAGGCGACCCTACTCCTTGTCACGCACAACCTGGGAATCGAAACCACGCCAGTTGACTCAATGACAGACCTTATGATACAGCCCGCACGTGCTAACCATTCGATCATCCAACCCCGGATTGGCTAGGACAGTGTCTAGTCGTTCGGACGGAACAAAAAACGAAGTCCCGTTAGACATTGCCATGAGGGTAAAAGAACCTTTAGTAGTTGGAATTCGAATAAAACTAGGCTGTAGTGTTGCTGTCCGGGCAAAAATCCCTTCATAACACACTGTATAGCATATTCCCGTGTTCATTAGCCCAGTCGACACAGAAATCCAGGACGTCAAACCCTATTTCATTTCATTTTGAGATCTCATTCAAGGTTTTAAACTGTATATATTATTTTTCATTCAAAATCTGTATTTTTTAAATATTTCAGATGAACAAAATGTTAAAACGTTGAAGAAATCGTCCAAGCTGACATCTTTAATGTGTTTATGTCAACCAAAGATCATGGATTAAAATCGAAAGTGAACGTGAATGTTAATTGTTTATATAATTCATCTATAGAAGATCGTATCAATCCAAGCTTTAGATTTATATTTGTAAGATAAAACAGATTTAAAACCAAAAATTAAGCCTGAATTCAACACATAACCTCTCAACAATGTATTTCTATAAGTTTATAAATTTTGATATAAAAATATTTTTATTAGAAATTGTTTGCTTTGTCAACTTATGAAACACAACAATATTCTTGGTATTATTTTAGTGGCAATTAGGGAGCCACGTTGGTTCCGTGATCAAGACGTTGGTTCGCTAACCTGGAGGTCTTCCAACCTGGTGTTGGTGGAGAAAGTTCATCTGGACTTTCCGACGTGGTTCCTCTATGTCAGTGGTGCAGGATAGAGGGCCTGATAAGGGACAACCTGTGCTATTTTCGCCCCTTCTCTCTGAATCTCAGAGACAGTCTAGTCCACATGTCGAAGTAGTTAATGTGTCGGGGGATCACGTGGCTAAGTGGGTAAGACGCTGACTCGCTAGCCTAGAGGTCGGGTGTTAGATCCTTGCATTGGCTGAGAAAGTTCATCCAGATTTTCCGGCGTGGTTCCCCCTTGTCAGTGATGCAGAACGGAGGGCCTGACAAGGACAGCTGTCTAGTCATTTGGATGAGACGAAAAACCGAGGTCCCGTGTACACATTGGCGTTCACGTAAAAGATACTTTGATAGTTGGAATTCGATATAAGAGTAGGCTGTAGTGCCGCTGTCCGGGCAAAATTTCCCTCATAGCACACTGTATGGCGTATGCCCGTCTTCATTAGCCCAGCTCGGGGCAAAACAGTAGGACGTTAAACCCCATTTCATTTCGCCCCGTTACTTCCACATTTACTTTTCTGTAGTGTATGGTGTCCTTTATTTCCACATAATTATGATGTTGTGTATGGTGCCCCCCCCCCCCCCCCCTCCGAGCGCCCTTAAATATCAGCCAGATGTTTCAAAATTTCAGTCATTGACTGCATTTTAACCTGCTAGCCTTCTAGTTGGGACACAACCCTCAGATCCGCGACCATTTCTCGGGTAACAAGGTTTGACGATGGTTTCTGAAGGGACTCTAGTGTAGATATTTGTAGGCTGACTCTAGGAGATAGCTCACACAAATTAAGCATTTTTGCGACTACAGACCTAAACAGGTAATAATAACAACCATACGTTGTTCCAGACATCCATTTATTGTTGTGTATGGTGCCCCGTTGCTACCACATTTACTATTGTGTGCGGCGTCCCATTACTTCTACATTTACTGTTGTGTATGGTGTCCCGTTGGCTGTTACTTCCACCTGTGCTTACGTGTATGGTGCCCATTACTTCCACATTTGCGTACGTAACTAACGTTCGAAAACTAAATGATAGCTAGCACTTCTCTGCAGGTAGGATGGCACACTGATCCGCAGTGAATATTTGCTTGGCCGCGACAATCACTGATAAGGATGACATTGATAAATAAAAGGCGTTTGACGTATTTGTAGTTAAAAATTATTTCCGATTTAGTGTAAATGGGTATTAAAATGACTAAAATGCAGCATTCTCTCCGAAGCAGTTATGTCTTGTGTAAACAATGCACGCGCCATTCAGCCAATGATTCACACCGCGTGCTGTGACAGCACGTGTTAAGGCAGTCATCTATGACAGAGATATTATACGAGACTCGTAATTCTCTGTGAAACAGATTGGTAGGATGGGTCTGTTGTTCAGATTGCCATGTATGGGGCCCGCTTTAATTCCACACTAACTGCTATGTATGGTGTCCCGTTACTGTCACTTTGTCTGTGGTGTAAAGTGACCTGGGCGCTGTTTCTCGAAATCTTAACTAAAGGTAAAATCCAAATTTTAGTAGATACTTCAATTTTGATTGGCTAAGCACTAAAATCAATCCAATATTATCCAATCAAATTACTAAAATCTGGATTTTATCTTAGTTAAAATTTCGTGAAACAGGCTCCTGTTACTTAGAGCTTTGTTGTGGTATATGGTGTCCCGTTACTGATATCTTTGCTGTGTATATGGTGTCCCGTTACTGCCACCTTTTATATGGTGTCCCATTACTTCCCGTTACTGCCACCTGTACTGGTGGGTATGGCACCCCTTTACTTCCACATTTACTGTGTAGGGTATCCCGTTGTCACTTTCACATTTGCTGTGGTGTATGATGCCCCGTTACTGGTTAGTGAACCAGCGCCTTAGCCACTCTCGCTCCCACGAGATAACTAAGAAAAACATATCAATGTACAAAACATTTTTTTCCTTTAACAACATAAAGCGGAAATTACAAAATCAACGAATATTACAAACATATGAATTATATAATTATGGCTGCTTTAAGCTTTGAAATACAGTATGATGTGTGATTATTATAGAATTATACAGATATGTTTTTGTAAATAACACTTTTTATAAGAAAAGTTTCACGGTCGTGTGCTTTATCCTTTATCGTCAGATGGTGGGATGGGATTGACATTCAAAGCGCGGGATAATGATATAGACACATTTTATATCACAATTAATGCTTTGCATCAATGAAATTGTTTTTTTGTTTTCTTTAAAAAGTTCAGTGGGTATGTATATACGTGAAAAGGGCGATAGAGACATGTATTTCCCAAAACTTTTCAAGGCCGTGGGGAGCGGGGAGAGGCCAACCCACCCCCACCAAAGATACATTGTCTCAAGAACCTGACAAACCGCCTCGTGCAAAAATTCCTGGATCCGCCCCTGATATATATCGTACCAGGAACAACGACTCAACGACGTAGTCTCGATCGATTCACACCTGCGCAAGGATATTAAGGTTAGATATATATGAAGTAATGTAGGTGCGAATCTGATATGAATACTGTCCAACTATGAAAAATAGGGTTACTCCTGCATAGCCAGAGCAGGTCATCGGGGAACGGATAGGGGGCTCTTCTGGTATGAATAGAGAGAGAGATAGATAGAGAGAGAGAGAGAGAGAGAGAGAGAGAGAGGGGGTGTTTAACGTCCACTCGATACTAACTAGATCATTTCGTTACTAACACATGGTTCAACTTTATTTCAATAATTCGCTTGCCCATAAGGGTCTTTAGCAGTAGGACCCGGAGAAAACCCATGAGGTTGGACAGGCGACCCTACTCTTTGTCACGTACAAGCGGGGAATCGTCATGAGGACCATGGTCTCTGCGGCGATGTACAGAATGCATCAATCCGACCAACAACAAGTCCAAATTTACACGTTTCATAGACCAGGCTAAAAAGTGAATTATGTATACTGTTATTTAGTAGGGGAGTTGGGGGTGGCGGACCCCTAGCACCACCCCCACTCCAACCTGGATCCGCTGGATGAGTTGTAGGCTATATTATATATCCCTACTATTATATTCCAAAAATAACAATTCAAACAATCACACCGGAACTGCTGACTAAATCACATAGATTGCACATTAAAACCACAGGCGCCTGTAACCCTGAAAATCTCTTTCAAAATTAATATATCAATTGACGGAGAATCAGTTTCAGGCGAGTTATTTGCCCCTGAATTTGATAATCTTGCTTACGAACATGAACGTAATGGACTTAAGACACAACGCTTAGCGAAACCAATTTTTTGAAAGAGGTTTTCTATGTCACAAAAATTAAAATGAAATGAAATTGGGTTTAACGTCCTACTGTTCTGTTCCGACTGGGCTAATGAAGACGGTTTCCATGTCACAGGCGCTTGTGATTAAAATAAGCTCACAGAGTGTTCACATCAATGTTAGCGGCTTGGAAGACCTGTCTGCTAATTTCGACTGGGGTACCGCTTAAATATTTATAAGCTCACAGAGTGTTCACATCAATGTTCGCGGCTTGGAAGACCTGTCTGCTAATTTCGACTGGGGTACCGCTTAAATATTTATAAGCTCACAGAGTGTTCACATCAATGTTAGCGGCTTGGAAGACCTGCCTGCTAATTTCGACTGGGGTAATGCTTAAATATTTATAAGCTCACAGGGTGTTCACATCAATGTTAGCGGCTTGGAAGACCTGTCTGCTAATTTCGACTGGGGTACCGCTTAAATATTTAATCATATCCAGATCTAACTTGGGCACGCTGTCCTCCCAGTGAACTGATAGGGTGTCATTTCTCCACTCGAAGTAGCTTCCGGGTTTGTTTTGGTGAATTTCTGATCTGTAATCCTGCAACCACGTGGGATGACAGTTGTGATTCAAACATTTTACCTGCAGACGCCGGTCTAAGAAAACGCTTTCCGGGTCGAGTTCTATGATCTTATAGGCTGAGTAATGGTCGTAGAACCAGTTGGGTGCGTATAATGGAGATTTCAAGGCCTTGTATAATTTTGTCAAATAGCGGGAGCCTTGTTTACCCATTAAGACGCTAGGATTGATCGAATCAGGCCAGTTGCCATAGAGATGCCAATCAGGCGACACAACAGCCTCGTATCCAAAGTAATAATCTGGAATTTGATTGGTCCACAAAACGTTACCGTCCTGATAAACGCCGCCGTAACGTAACAGAATTTCAATTCGTAACGGACACGGATCCCTGGTTAAACTATGAACATTATCTGTGTCGTATGACGTCGGAACGTGTTTGACGTAAACGAATCGTGCGTCTTCTTGGAGTTTTGCCCACCACTGACCAGAGGGCGTTTGTGGTCCGTGAACATACACGCGATCTAACTTAGCCAGATGCACAGCACTGAGCATGCTTATAAAAGTGATAAATTCTATCTCGCATGTATCAACACATATATAATGACCTATTTTCGGAAACGGATGCGTCAGGTCGTAAGTTGGCTGGATATTCAATTTGTTGTAAGCGATAACTCTGGCCATCATGGCGAATTTAGTATTAGCTGCCCATATATCTTTTGGAAAGATCATCCGCGAGATATACGCACACATGATGTTGTGATTTGATGTCTTTTCATACAGTTCTGTACTGACACAGCGAGGAAGTTTTGGCGTTTGCGGATCTTCAGACGTCAGGCGCAAAAACAGATGCTCAGAATCAGTCGGCACAAAAAACCCTCGTGCTTTAGCAACAATAATACCTTCTTTGTAATCATCCGCTTGGATGACCACAACGTTCGAAACAAACGTCACAGTTCTCAGTTTACCGGGAAAATGTAGAAGTAAAACGTCGTCGGGGACGTAAACGCCGCCGTATTCGTACAGAAGATCTAGAATTAGGAGATAGCGGTTGGTTCCATAAGATGGACAAGTCGTTCTCTCCAGTTTGTGTAAAATTATATCCGGAACTTCTTTCAGTGTCTGATTAAACCACGTGAAATAACCTTCCGTGTCTTGAAGCGGTAAATCGACATAATGAAACAATATCTTGTACGGCGCAATGATTCTAGACGCACTCTTTACCGAGAGATAGTGCCGGAACTCAAATAAACGCTGACCACACCAAACGTAATGAAGAATTAGAGGTCTGCCAAACGCGCGGGCGGGTGGCTGAATAGGTAATTCCGGGAGAGTTTTCGACAAATGACTAGAGTCGTCAGCGGTCTCCACAACAAAGTTGTTGTTGGAGTTGGACGGCGGAAGTGCGATGTCGATCTCGCCATCATTAGAACGTCGGTAAACTTTGCTCTGTTCCGATATGCCCCATTTTAAATGAAAACTATTTGTGATGTAAACCAAAATTAAGGCGATGCATCCGACGAGCATCCAGAATGTATAGATCCTTCGGTATCGTCTAAATCCCCGAATCATTGTATGGATAAAATCACATTTTGATTTTCCTGCAATAAAAGAAAAGATCAGTTACGAATAGGAATTTATATTAAGGATAAGTCAGTGTTATCGAGCATGCTAGCATCGTGACCATTGCTTCAAGAATAGGGAAATAAAACAACTTGAAATTCACTTAAAAAATTAATAAACTTTCTTATAAGGCAAGCAAATCATATGAATTTATAAAATCTCCGGCTTGTTTTCAGATCCCATAATTGAATATTGTATCTTTATAATATGTAAATATTGAATAAATATTGTTAGGAAAAAAAAGCAAATCATAGCGATGGCTCGCAAACCAAAAGGCCACATTTGGTTTTCCTGCGATGAAAGAAAGAATTAAAGATTATATAAAGAGTTGACAGTTCTCGCTGTAATAGATAAAGTAAATAGAATATGCCGATAATTTCTGTAAAATTGCTCCACTCTGAACCGAGATATTAGATTTTGAATTTTAGCCTCGATCATCATTACTCAAGTCGGTACGATAAAAAAAAAACGTCTTTTACGTTTAATCATCCTTCACGAAATGTATTCCAACCCTGTAAATATCACAGGCTAGCGATGACATCGAGAATTGATGAAGGAATTTTCATGTTAAAGTAGCTAAGTCTCTAACTCAATACCATCCAAAATCTTCAACATTGAAAACACGATTTATTTGCCGAATTAAATCAACATTCATGTTGTGATCTTACCGGAAAAAGATGGGCTTTTGATATCCAATATTTAAAACAAAATAAACATTTTACCATTGGTACACGAATCGTGTACCATAATGCGCTTCAGCCCCAGTTGTATCAAGAGACTCGGGGGACGAGGCTAGACACATTGCACCCAATCAAACGGCGTATGTAGACTGGAATAACCAGACACTAGAAATTTGCACTCGCTTGAGACTGCTGGCTTATTTCGCCGAACATAACTGATTTGAAATTGGAGTAAAAACCGAAACCATTGAATGTAAATCAGTTTATACATGTATATATTCATATTACATTATTCTATGCGTTGCGACCCACTTTTGTCAATTTCTAGGTCCCAAATGTTAGCGATTTAGCTCCTTTAATAAATGCCTAATTAATAGTTCATATAATATTTCAGGCCTAAAGAAAGACCTGCAATAGGCAGATTTAGCTCTTGCATAATGTATATTTAAGTAAGAATATCGAATATGAATACATATCCCGCAGCTATGCTTAGGTGCTTTATCTGAAAATGAGATGTGGCGAGAAATGATTCCTTTGGGCTAAGAAAGAAGAATCACGGTGAAAGAAAAATTGAAGGTAAGGATTCCAAAATAGCCTTAGATCAGAGGTCAGGTTGTATTTTCATATTGCAGCTTAATAGGGACGAACAGGAACTGTGAGCGGACATGGTCCGATCAGACACAGTTCCTAAAGGAACTAACGGAAACGCCTGTTTCCCCCTTTTATTGCAAAATGAAATGAAATGGGGTTTAACGTCCTACTGTTTTGCTCCTAAACTGGGCTAATGAGGACGGACATACACCATACAGTGTGATATGAGGAAACTTTTGCCCGGGCAGTGGCGCTACGGCCTACTCTTATATCGAATTCCAACTGCCAAGGGATCTTTTACGTGCACGCCAATTTGTACACGGTTATTGCAGACGTAACGATAGACACAAAACAATCACATCACAGTCTCCATTTTTGTTGACGAGCCTTCAAACTCCAATCATTTTGAAACCTTTTTTTCTTAACTCAAATATCATATAAACAAACAATACAACCTGTCATGAGGTCTCCGTCCGGGGATACGACATTTAAGAGAATAAACACCACCGAATAATGGAGTTATTCAATGAGTTCGTTTGAAAAAGGGCGTGTTTATTAGTTTTTATCATTATATCTTTTATTGTAGGTAGATCTAATCTAGATTCGTTTTTCAATTGTACACCTCGGTACACACAAAACAAAATTTCTTTTGTCGATTGTCTCCGCTGCCAAACATGGATAATAAACTTGTATTTAAGTTGTTCATGGTGTATTTATTCAGCTAAGTAACGTGGATGTTGACAAATACATATGTTGGGTTTACAGTGCGAAAAACAGTAACTAAACACCATCATAATACCCGATATTGTTCAGGTATCACGTCGTTTGGTAATAAGTATATAAAAGAGACAATTACGATTATAAGAAAGGGAGACAACCGGCACTAGTTACAAGAAAGGGAAATTGGGGTTTAAACATATTTGCTAAATTCCAATCATACAATAGACAAACGGACGCCTGAATCTAAATTAGGGGGAGATTTATGGTCAGGCATTATTGGGAACCGTTATTACTAAACATTATGATAGTTGCACGCAAACAACCATATCTCACAACAAGAGGCGATTTTCATCAATCCGCCCTTTCAGTCCATAATGACCCTAAAATAAGAGTTCATTTCGTGTTGGTTTTATTTTGATAGGAGGTATTTCTGACCCTTATTTCGATAAAAACGTATTGACTATTAAATAGTATCTTCATTCAAAACAACATCCCAAGAAAACATTTAAACATCATAACACTCTCTTATTAAAAATTGAAGAAAATCTTCATAAATTCATTTATCAAGTGGACGGTTCAATTAACTGTAAAGGTAAACTTTTATTTAATCCTAAATCGTAAAAAAAACCACACCCCATAAAGGGTGTGAATAGTGGGTATTAGAAAAGGTACATGGTAGAAATAACACGGCTGATTTCGTCCAGAAGTATGAATGTTACACTAAAATTATTACATCTTTAGTACTCACATACTGTATAATATTTTTAAGAACGAAACATAAAATATTTTTGCGATGAATATCTCAGAATTATTTGCTAAAGAATGAGTATAGGGTGGTATAAGGAGAAAAGCATAAAGCGTTTTGCGATGAATATCTTAGAATTAAATTGCTTCAATAAAATAAAACCAAGTACGAACAATCCAAACCATTAGACATAATTCGAAGTCCTAAAAAAAACGGTATTGGCAAAATAGTGTAATAGGCAAAATAGTGTAATCAGCATATGGACTGTTCACCGTGTACAAAATACAGGTGTCCGGAAGAGTAAGCTTTAGTAATTGAACTCGAGTATGCAGGTAGAAATTCTATAGAATACAATTACGTCTTATTACTGAGCGACGTTATCTTAGTATATCTTAGAATTAGTTGCTAGAGAATGAGTATAGGGCAATATTAGGAGAAAAAAGATAAATATTTCAGAATTATTTGCTAAAAAATGACTATCATAATTTAAGGTGGAAAGTATTATGCGATGAATTTCTCAGATTAACATAATCCTTATAAGACATATATAGAAGTTTATCCATATTATTACTACTCTGATCTTGTTAATTCTTAATTAATGATTAATCTGTTATATATGAAAATGAAATGAAATGGGGTTTAACGTCCTACTGTTCTGCTCCTAACCTGGGCTAATGAAGACGGGCATACGCCATACAGTGTGCTATGAGGGAAATTTTGCCCGGACAGCGGCACTACGGCCTACTCTTATATCGAATTCCAACTGCCAAGGGATCTTTTACGTGCACGCCAATGTGTACACGGGACCTCGGTTTTTCGTCCCATCCGAACGACTAGACAGCTTTCCTTGTCAGCCCCTCCGCCCTGCATCACTGACAAGGGAGAACCACGCCGGAAAATCTGGATGAACTTTCTCGGCCAATGCAGGGATCGAACACCCGACTCCAGGCTAGCGAGCTAGCGTCTTAGCCACGTGATCCCCCTGTTATATATGCTTTCCAATTGTTATCTCTATATATTGCACCACGTTTTTGTTAAATAATTAATTATTTGCTTGATAACGATATCTGTATGTGTATCGAAACGTAGCGTGTTAATAAATTCAGAAGTAGTATATCCATGTAAGTGTTTTTAATTTACCTCAGATTATTTTAGAATTATTTGCAAAAAAAAAAAAAAAAAAAAAAAAAAAAAAAAAAATGAATATAAGAATACAAAAATAAAAACATTTACGATTCATATCTTAGAATATTTTATTATTATTTGCTAAAGAATGGGTATATCATAAAGCGGACAAAATTTTTCAATAATTATCTCAGAATATCGAAATTATTTGCTAATAAAAAAACTTAGTACATCCCAATATACATGATGTAATTGGAAAAATCATAAAACATTTTGCAATAAATATCTGAGAATATTTCAGAATTATTTGCTGAATAATGGATGAATATATACATAGCGCAGTATAACGAGAAAAGCACACAACATATTGCAATGAATATATGTGCTAAAAAATCAGTATATTCGAATATAAGTGGAAAAATATAAAATATTTTGAAATGAATATTTTTTAATTATTTGTCAAAAATAAGGGGAAAAACATAAAACATGTTACAATGAAGATCTCAGAATATACGTCAAATTTTTTATTTGACCTTCTCATAATACGCAATAAAATTTCCCTGAGAGCACATAATCAATCGGGTGTTGCGATACCCTTTCTCTGTGTATATACTTGTCGAAACGTCGTGAAATATGTTTATAAACCAGTGATTGTTTTCCATATAAACTGTAAGTTGTGTTGGGGTTTTTTTTTGAGAAGTGTACAATATAAGGAAAACTTGTATAGGATTCGAATTTTAATCCTGTTATTTTTATTTTTTTCTTGAAGGTTCAGAGACACTCGCACTACCGAGATTTCGTTTATTTCATTCTAAAGTTTAAACATACATTATGCAAGAGCTAAATCTGCCCATTTCAGGTCTTTCTTTAGGCCTGAAATCTTATCTAAATTATTAATTAGACATTAATTAACTTATTCAGACCATAATCAACTCTCGATAGCATCGCTAACCTGCGATGTTTATTGGATTAGGTCCCTATTTGCTGTTCGACTTCCATTCATAATTTAATCATGAAATGGATAATCGAGACTATGGTTTTTGTTGTTGTACCGACTTTAGTAATGATGAACGAGGCTAGGCCGAAAATTCAAGCGCTAAAATCTCGGTTCAGAGTGGACTAATTTGGCTGAAATTTTTAGCAAATTGCATTTACATTATCTAGTTTTTAACTATTATAGTGAGAACTGACATCTCTTTATCTAATCTCCCATAATGTATCTTTAACCACATCATCAATTTGCGTTACGTTAAGGTTTTTTGGGTGTCATCAACATATGATATGAACTGGTACTGTACTAATATAGACCCCTGACTGACCCCGACAGCATTTACCCGATTACTGTTGCCGTCAATTAAAGTAACGGTGCGCAGTTTGTATTGTTCGGAAAAAAATCAAACTTCGTAAGGCCTAATCCACACTAATATATTCTCAGAGATCGCGGGTTCGATCCCGGTGTTGGTTGAGAAAGCTCAATGGGATTTCCCGGCGTGGTTTCAAGTGGCAAGACGGAAGGCCTGGCAAGGACAGCTGTCTGGTCCTTCGGGTGGGCCGAAAAACCGAGGTCCCGTGTACACATTGGCATGTACGTAAAAGATCCCTTGGCAGTTAGAATTCGATATAATAGTAGGCCGTAGGGTCGCTGTCCCGGCAAAATTTCAGTCGTAGCACACTGCCCGTCTATTTAGCCAAGTCGGAGCAGAACAGTAGAACGTTAAACCCCATGTTGTTGTTGTTTATTACAGATTTAACGTCCAATACAATGAATATGACATTATGGACAGGTTGATTTAATTAAATTATTTACACTTGAAAATTGTTAAAAACACAAATTTAAAAAAAGGGTCCTCGGACCTCGGATACCAAAAGTTCCTTAAAGCACACTTATAAACTTGCTGTCGTGAGAAGAGAGGGCGGGTCATCTTCTCCCTTTGTCATAATAAAGTTAAAACATGAGGTCCAACTGACTGATGTTTGGCGTCATCAGAGCGGATAGAAGAAAAAACCCGTGTGGAAAAAGAATCCGCTTCCTTTATGTGGAAAAGCGAAGTGCTCGCAGTAAAAACCACATAGCTGGACCCGTAGTATTCATTTATATTCTCAGTTTGATTAGTTAACGTTTAATGATTAAACAAAATAAAAATATGAACGCGAGATAATCACCGGGCGTGAATTTAATCTGATTAAACACCGGTACCATCAATTAGATTCCGCGAACCATAATGATTAGCATAATATGTTAGTCTCAACATGTCATAATTAGATGTCGACGGGACGTTAAACCCCAAGGGGTTGGGGGTGCCGCGCTTCGACCTCTAGCTGGCCGGTCACATCTGGCTTGTGGTTGTTGTTTCCATCCCTGGTGTGAGCGTATGTGGCTTGGAGATAGGGGCGCCTTCTCAACCTCGTGAGTTTATTCCGGGTATTCCGGTTTCTCATCCCATATGAAACATCCCTGCGCGTGCGCTAAGATAATAACAATGAAAAATAAGACTTGTCTGAGATATCACCTTCGGTGGAAGCGGACAATACACACTAAGAAGAACAACAACGTTAAACCCCATTCCATTGAATTCTTTAGATTTTAATGTGTATAAAACTGCATGTGTCAACGAATAACTCGCGAAAGTCGGAACAACTAATTATGAAAAATATTGAATACCATGCAGTCCTAAACTATCAAAATATAAATCCAGTACCTATCGCCGCTAATCAGCGCTTATTTGCATTAGATAATTTACTGGGTGGCTTTTAAGTACCAAAGCAATATACTGTCACAAAAGATTCAAATTCTTTTAAGAAGAAAAAGCATGTCGAAGTTAATAAATATTTCCAGTTATTGTATGGAGCCGACGCAACGCCTAAACCTGCATCGATGCATGAATAGGGGGATTATTCAGTCAACATTGATGCACTCATGGCCATATGACCAATTTTAATTAGATTTAACCGAGGAACGAGGAACGTGTCCCTTAATATAGTTGTTAACAAAAGAATAGTATAGAGATACTGTTGTTGAAGGGGATAATAAGGGTGCATACCGTACGTAACCATGGCAAAACGTAAATCACAGATTTGTCACAAAATAACCGAAAAGTTGGCGAGAGACAAAAAAAAAAAAAAAAAAAAAAATAAATAAATAAAATAAAACCAACAAATATTATGGTTGGATCTCCAAAAAGCAGTATCAGCTCAAAGATGATTCAATTCCCTTTAATTGTCAATGATGAATTAAAAAAAAAACCAAACAATCGGCATCCTCGGTAGACGATATTAAATGAAATGAACCGGGGTTTAACGTGATACTATTCTGTTCCGACTCGGCCAATTATAGCGTGGAAGAAGCCGTTAAAATGCAGATATTGTCCGAAAAAGTGCCCATCTCTTGATTTAGGATGCGTGAGACATCAGTCAAACTAAAAAACGTAAGTGCCGTCTAATCAGGAGGGGCTTGAGTCTGGCACCGCGCCATAATTTCTTTGAAAAACTGATTATAGTATATCCTGATCATTTGCTTGATAAAGACGAGAATATCCTCATCGAAACGTCGCTTAGTACAATGTAGTATTAAACTCAGTAATTGTGTATCCATAAAATTGTACCTTGTGTTAATATGTTCAATTACTAAATGCCAATGAAAGAAGATATGTTTCTGGCTTATGCACAAAATATAGCGCGTGACGATCTTACCAATTCATCAAAAATGACGTAAAATCAAGACTAAAACTACCTGAGGACATAACTAAATCTGTCTATTGCAGGTCTTTCTTTAGGCCTTAAATGTTATCTAAATTATTAATTAGACATTAATTAACTTATCCAGACCATAATCAACACGCGATGCCATCGTTAGCCTGTGATATTTAGTGGATTTGAATACGATTTGTGATGGATGATTTAACGTAAAAACAGATAATCGAGACTTTGTTTATTATCATACCGTAGTCGTAATGACGTTGGAGGCTAGCCTAAAATTGAATCGCTAATATTTCGGTTCGGAGTGAAGTAATTTGACTGAAATTTTCAGCATATTCTGCTTTCAATGTCTGTTTCTTTTTAACTATTATAGGGAGAACTGTCAGCTATTTATCTAATCTTACCTAACGCCCTTTTAACATAGGGTCCCTGGACAACCCAAGCCTCCCATACTCACAGAGAGGGGTTCACTAGCCCGCAGGTTCACTAGTCCGCCGATATAAGAAATACTATAAATATGGGTATGAAAAACCTAATCCTAACCCTAACCCTAATAATAGATATCGGTGGACTAATGAACCCGCGGACTAGTGCACATTAACCCTAACCCAACCCCTAAATTTAGATAGTGGTGGACAAATGAACCCGCGGACTAGTGATCATTCCCCTTCTCACGGGTTTCTTTCAGTCCACCCCGAGGTCTACTTTTGATAAAATGATATTTCTAGAAATAAATATAAACATTTTGTTAAATTCTCACCGAAATGTTTTGTAGATGCTAAAATCCGTCGACCGATCGATATCTTGTGTTTATCGTCTTGAGGTGGTAGTTCGGGTTGAGTGATTGTAGCTATGTGCCCGTCAATGGCGGGAAATAAACTCATTCTGTCGTCTGCTCACACGTCGCGCGCTGTCAAACCACGTAAGGATGAATAACAGTAGTTAGTTCATTGAGTGAAAGTGAAATTAAACGAAAAGACCTGCTCCGACACCCTTTTATCAAAAGCAGGAGGGTGTGAATATAGGGAGAACTATTGGATTGGATAAATTGGTCTTGACAGAAAAAAGACGGGGTTTTTTTTCACGTGATTTGTCGGCTACTTTGAATTGTAGGCCTAATATGAAATGTCATTTGCTGAATTCGTGTTCCATATTGTAGGCCTACTTCAAAACCTTTATTGTATTCGTCTCTTTGTATCTTTATTTTTTCTCTCTTTTTTGTACGGCTACCTTGAATTGTAATTTGAAATGTCATTTGCTGAAGTCTGAAAACATATTATATTTAAAAAAAACTGTTATTTTATATTCTCTTGGTCTCGTGTGTGGGCTTGGATGGCCGAATGGTTAGCACGTGCGCGCTGTATCATTAGGTCTGTCATTGGGTCAACTGGTGTGGGTTACCGATTCCCCGGTTGTACGTGAGCGTTATATCATATGATCTGTCATTATGTCAACTGACGTGGTTTCGATTCCCCGCTTGTACATGACAAGGAGTAGGGTCGCCTGCCCAACCTGGTGGGTTTTCTTCGGGTCCTAGGGTTTCCTCCCACTGTTAAAGGAGTAGGGTCGCCTGTCCAACCTAGTGGGTTTTCTCCGAGTATTCCGGTTTCCTCCTACTGCTAAAGACCTTACGCGCAAGCGAATTATTGAAATGAAATTGAACCATGTGTTAGTCCCGAAATAATCTAGTTTGGATCGAGTGGACGTTACCCCCCCCGTCTCTCTCTCTCTCTCTCTCTCTCTCTCTGCTCGTGACATATTATATTTCAAAAACCTGTTATTTTATATTCTCTTCGTCTCTTTGTAAAATTTTAATAATTGTATCTTTATTATGCTCTCTCTCTCTCTCTCTTTACTCTCTCTCTCTCTCTCTCTCTCTTCACGCTCTCTCTCTCTCTTTACTCTCTCTCTCTCTCTCTCTCTACTCTCTCTCTCTCTCTCTCTCTCTCTCTCTCTCTCTCTCTTTTTTTTTTTTTTTTAGATCAAATCATTATTTACTTCATTGTACCTGTTTGTCCGCTGTTATTTTTTTAGGTTGAATTTCTATCTATTATTCAACAAAAGTGTGTGACCCCGATACTAAAGGATCCAAGATTGGTTTCTGTGTGATTCAGCATGCAGTTAGAACATAGGAGTGTATTCTAAGAAAGAGACGATTGTAAGAGTATACCTATTTACTTACTGCGGTTCAATTGGTGTTCAAATTGTAACATGCAAGTTCTAAATCTTGATAATTGACTATAGTCAAACACCACAAAGTACAAATAAAAAATCAACCATTGAATTGTAACGATTTGCCAATCATCAAACACGATGTATTGGATTTATTCATACTGTCACGACTTGGACATATTTTGCTTCAATTTCTTTATGTAGACCTAAAATTTCCTAGTAAACAATACATAGTTGGTTAATATATCTGGTTAAAGGGCGTATAACTATTAACTCAAAATAGTAGTTCGTCTATTTATAGCAATTCTCTCCCCCCCCCCCCACAAGTTTGTTGATTTTTCCATGAAAGTTTGTCGGGTTTTTCCTGCCCCCCCACCGTCATGGCTAGACACATTGGTGTGCACGTAAAAGAACCCTTGACAGTTGGAATTTGATATAAGAGTAGGTCGTGGCACCGCTGGCTGGGCAAAATGTCCCTCATAGCACACTGCAGGCGTATGTCCGTCTTCATTAGCCCAGTCGGAGCAGAACAGTAGGACCTTAAACCCCATTCCATTTTATATCATTTTAAATAGTGCAACAAATCTTCACATTGAAACAGTGTGCGCGCTGTATCATAAAGCCTGTCATTGAGTCAACTGGCGTGGTTTCGAATCCCCGGTTGTACGTGACAAGGAGTAGAGTCGCCTGTCCAACCTCGTGGGTTTTCTCCGGGTCCCCTACGCGCAAGCGAATTATTGAAATAAAATTGAACCATATGTTAGTCCCGAAATGACCTTGTTTGTGTCGAGTGGACGTTAAGCCACATTTCTCTCTCTCTCTCTCTCTCTCCCATTACAGTTGCATTTGACCGACTTTGTTTAAAAAGTGCCAGTGGTTCTTTTACGTGCACGTCAAAACCCTGCGGTAAACGGGACCTTGGTTTATCGTCCCATTCAAACGACTAGAATCCTTTCCTTGCCAGTCCCTCAGTCCTCCACAACTGAAAAGAGATGGGGATGGGGATCGTGCAAGAAATTCCCGACCGACCTTCCAGGGCAACGCCGGGTTCGAACTGAGGACCACCGGGTTACTGAGCCAACGTCCTACTCACTGAGCCCCCGCGGCTCTTCACAAAGGTGATGTTAGCGTGCTGGCATATTAACGACAGAACTAGTCATCATTTCAATATTGAAAATGTTTATAACAAGATCACACATCACATCACAACACAAACAAAATATATATATTCAGTTGATATGTAATTCATCCAGATTTTCCGGCGTGGTCCCCCCTTGTCAGTGATGCAGGGAGGAGGGCCTGACAAGGACAGCTGTCTCGTCGTTCGGATGGGTCGAAAAACCGAGGTCATGTATACAGATTGCCGTGCACGTAAAAGATCCCTTGACAGTTGGAATTCGACATAAGAGTAGGCCGTAGTGCTGCTATCCGGGCAAAATTTCCCTCGTAGCACACTGTATGGCGTATGCCCGTCTTCATTAGCCCAGTTCGGAGCAGAACAGTAGAACGTTAAACCCCATTTCATTTCATTTCATTTATATGTAATTCGTTTTATTTTTAATTTACATCATCATGTCTATAGAAAAAAACGAACTAGATATTTAAATAAATTATAAGTGCATACCACTTTAAAAAAAAATTATAAAAGCTAAAAAACGAAGATGTTGATGAATTGAAATGTATGAATGCTTCTTTCACTTGAGTTGTGACAACCGATTGCTGTCACCCCTTTTTTGTAAATGCATTGATTGACTCAATCAACAGCAGGACATGTGTACTATCTGATGTTCCATAATATTATTTTTATGTAATAAGTGTTTTCGAATTACTTTAGTAACTTGTACAAATGTATACTATTCGAGATGGTTGAATGCAGGGAGAGGTGTTTTCTCCTCTCCTGTTGTGTATTTTCATTAATGGAATTGAAAATCTAGATGTTAACATGGTCCATTGGTGGCACTCGACGCATCTTGATTTTCAGATTATTATTTTTATAAATCGTTTTAATAATATTTAGTTTTATATTTGCACTTGTGAGCACGTAATATTTATCGTAAAACTAGTACTTCTCATAACATGACCTTCGACATTTACTATAAAAGAAAAAACGTTTTGATTTTAGTACAAATAAATACACCGAGACGCAGTGATAATGCAGCACTCTAGGGTATTGCTTGTAACGTTGTTTTAGCACACTTACACAGAGAGAGAGAGAGAGAGAGAGAGGGAGAGAGAGGGAGAGATACACACACAAACTAGGTCATTTCGGGACTAACATATGGTTCAATTTTATTTCAATAACAATTTTATTCTAATAAACAGCGAAGACTTCAAAAGCCTAAATTCCCCTTTAAATTCAAAGATCTGACCCCAAGTTCACAAAACATTCTCAGACTTAAAGTTAAGAATTTACTCAAAATTGCTCGCCTTATTTTAACTAAAATATAGCCCTTTATAAAACTTTTGTTGTTTGAATGTATCAAATACATCAATAGGAAACTATGTGCAAGGTTTTGTGCTTTTGGATCAGATATTTATCATAAACAGTGATTGAAAGTAAAGTTGAGTAAATTCTTAACTTACGTCTGAGAATTCTTTGTGAACTCGGGGTCAGGGGCCTTTTTCACGAAATTTTAACTAAGATAAAATCCAACTTTTATTTCTTCGATTGGATAATATTAGATTGATTTTAGTGTTTAGCCAATCAAAATTGAATTATCTATACTAAAATTTGGATTTTATCTTTAGTTAAAATTTCGAGAAACAGGGCCCAGGTCTTTGAAACAAACCGACCCTTTAAATGTAGTTCAGCCCGTGGTCGAACTCTATGTAAATACAAAGAATATAATATTTTGTGCATTTAAAAAGTATGTACATGTATAGTGGGGTTGAAGGAAAATCGGCCTTTTAAAAACAGAATCAATGAAAATTTTGGTATTTAAATAATTTCTTTTCAATTTCTATTTTATAGACTATGGACCATACGTATATAAGTAAAAATGGATAATTTAGCAATAAATCTCAATGATACGGATGTTCACATATAGGAGTATCAGAAAAGGGTTTATGCTCTGGTAAACGTTGAGTCTGCTTGATTAGAGGATCACACGCATCGCTGTTTTCATTCAAAGGTTATTACTCTGTGACACGGTCCCAACTTAATTCTTTTTAGGTCGACGACTATTAACATAGACTAACCTACGTGTAACCTGGATTAATAGAAATTAGTTCGTTAATCCCTGATAAGGGTTTTTATCGACGAGTTTATATCGTTATCGGAATTTAATACTATAGCCAGATTGAAAGAGGTCAAAGGGCAAAAGTAGGTTCGTTTATTATCATCGTCTGTGGCCGTCAGTATAGTAGTAGGGGCATGAAATGAAATAAAATGGGGTTTAACGTCCTACTGTTCTGCGCTCCGACAAGGATAATGAAGACGGGCATACGTCATACAGTGTAATATTGCCCGAACACCGGCGCTACGTCCTACTCTTATATCAAATTCTAACACGCCAATGTGTACACGGGACTTTGGTTTTCCGTCCCATCCGAACGACTATACACAGTGTCGTTCGGACAGCGGCGCTAAGACCTACTCTTATATCAAATGTCAGTGATGCAGGACGGAGGGCCTGACAAGGACAGTTGTCTAGTCGTTCGGATGGACCCCGTGTACACATTGGCGTGCACGTAAAAGATCCCTTGACAGTTGGAATTCGATATAAGAGTAGGCCGTAGTGCCACTGTCTGGGCAAAATTTCTCTGATAGCCGTC